CTTAATTTTAAACCATTCAGTGTTTCCATGTTCTGTTCAAACAACTGCCTCTTGGTCTAGGTACAGATTCCTCATGAGCAAAATTAAGTGTTTCGGAATACTCATACTTCTCACTGTTGTCCATAGCTTGTCATGATCCACACTCGAAAGCCTTTGGCGTAGTCAATAAAGCACAGGTAAACATCTTTCTGATATTCTCTGCTTTCAGCCAAGATCCTTCGGACATCAGCAATGATATCCCTCGTTCCACGGCCTCTTCTGAATCTGGCTTAAACCTCTGGAAATTCTCTGTCAACTAGTAGCTCATCAAATCAGTTTGTAGATTTTCCCCATCTTTTGAAAGTGTCCAAAATGGTGGTTTTCTGGAACTCATAACCCATTTGGCAATGACCGCAGAATTCCTTGGTGCATTTTTTCTACATACTACCCACAGTAAATTGTAGCTATTTAAGATTTGCTTCCCAGAACCCCAGTAGAACTAATAGCTGAGTATTTAATAAATCAAACACAAGAAAGAACACTTTCCAACACTCTTAAATGCCATGCAGAGAGACAAGAGAACTCTGATAGAGTCCATTGTTTCCTAGAGAAGTTAATAAACTAAAGGAAGATAAGAAATGAGAGGAAGGGTGCAGGACAAGAAGGAGAAATGGGAACATCACAAAAGGCCAGGAAACAGGAGTCAGAACAGCTCTGCAATAACTGTTAGTGAAGGTAGGGCTCAAGGAGAGTCAAGCAAATAGACACCTCCAGACTGCAGTTTCTTCTGCATGGGGATGTGTAAGGGCTGCCTGTGTGTCACTGAAAGAGGGTTAGGCAGAGGAGTTCACCACTGATTTGACTACAGCAGAACAGAGGCCACTATACCAGCTGGGAGCACTCTGTAGACATCATCTGACAATCTGTTTCCCTCTGGGGCAGACAAACTGAGAAGTGTAGCAAAGAAAGGGTAAAGGGACCCATTATAAATTGTTTTTGTAGATTCCAAGTCGGCTAAGACTGGAACTTAAAAACAAATGCTGTAAACTAAAGCACTGGAATCCTTTTCTGAATGAACTCTCAGAAAGCAGATCCAACATCTTCCTCACAGAAAAGATGCAGGAACCTGGGTATTTTCACACGGATTCTTTCCACACTGCAAAATGAGAGTGCGTATGAAAAACCCAGACTAAATAAAGTGAAAAATAACAAATCAAGGCTTTTGTATATTTTTTTTTCAGAATTTATTTATTACCGTATCTTAATTATGGTATAATAAATACCCCATGAGAGACTTTAATTTAGGAACTAAAAGTCTGTATTAATGATATCAGCTCTAGGGGTTGGTGGGGTTATCAGGTGCCGCCCAGTTGGCCAGTTGGTACCAACTGACTCAATAGAACAAAACAGTGCCTAGTCCTGTACCAACCTCACAACTGCTATGCTTGAGCCCAGTGTGACTGCCACTGTGTCCATCTATCTAGGTGGGGATCTTCTCATTTTTTTGTTGGAAGGATGCAGGCCACAACTTGGGGAAACTCCCCTTAAATTAGACCCGGGCTATGATGCTGTAGGATAAGCACAGGACTGCGAACCACAAGTTGGGCAGTTCAAACCTACCAGCTGTTCTTTGGAATCTGATGACCACATGAAGGCACCAAACAACATCTTCTAAAAGGTTAGAACCACTAGCATTTCCATGGGAGAAAGACTAGGCTTTCTGCTCCTGTAAAGATTTACAGACTTGGAAACCCTATACAGTGCCGCTATGAGTCAGAATAGACATGATGACAGGGAGTGAGGATCAAGTCACTAAAGGGATAATAAAGTCCATGATAAGCTACAGTTCCCACCACTTAGATTTCCCACAGAGTATCGATATACCCTTGCCTGCTTCCATTGTGACCAGGTCTCTTACTGAAGATAGACTTCCAACCAGAGTCAAACCCAGCAATAATAAAGAGTTAGCACACTAAGCATGCATTAAGTACCAGGAACTGATGAGAGGGGGAAGCTAAGCAAGAGTTAGAAGCAGGCTATTATCTTTTGGGGTTTTCCTCTTATTCTCTGTAGACTTTGCATTTTACACTAACTTTAAAACAAAATCTAGAGAAATGCACTGGACAAGCCATGTTGGTGAGGGGAGCAGGATATCTGACACTTCTGTGTTTTTAAAATGCTGTATTAGACCGCAGTAGACTTTCCCTGGGAGGCAGGCAGGCAGGCGATGCTACTCCCAGGGCTGGCTTGGAGTGTGCAATTCATACAGCCACACAGGATCCTGGGTTTGGTTTAATGCTGTCATGACCTTCCTAAAATTCTTTATACATTTTTAAAGCAGGGCCCTCACCAATTATGTAACCAATCTTGCCTACTCACTCTCCCAACTGAGGCCCACCAAGATGCCAAGTCAGGAAGCCCAGTCATCGTCTCCATCCCCAAGTCCTGTTGACCCTGCCATCTAAATGGTCCCTGCAACTGTCTTCTCCTCTCCCTTTGAACTATCACCTCAGTGATTCCTTCTCCTAACTGGTCTCTCCTCAAGCTATTTTGTAATATGCAGGGACTTTCCAAATTGCAAACTAATAGTGCATAAAATGTTCAAATGGCTGTCCACTGACTCCAGCAAGAGATAGAGGATGTCTTATTTTGCTGGCTCAGCACCTGTCTCACAACATTATATCCCTCTTCTTCTGGGAATTCCTCCATCCCCAGCCCCTCAACAGTGCTCTCCCCATGTGACCTGGCATCTGACCCAAACCAGACAAATCAGAGACTTCCCCTGAGATTTTGTTAGCATGAACGAAGTTGAATTGTGAAGGGAAAGATGGCAAAACCCAGAATAAGAAATCAGAAAGCAGGTGCCTGGCAGCTTGAAAGCCTGGTACCAGCTTCCTGAGAACCATCTTATCTTTCTGTTTACTTCTGTGAGCCAATAAATTCCTCTTTTTGCTTAAGTTAGCCAAAGGTATGTTTCAACCCCTTGTTGTCAGACACAACAAAGTGTGTTTGATGTGGCACTGCAGGGTAAGTACTGGATTGCAATCCACAAGATTGGTGGTTCAAACCCACCAGCTGCCCCTTGGAACCACTGCACAGGGTAGCTATGAGTTAGAACTGACTCAATGGCACTGAGAACAATCATCCAATCACTTCTCCACCTATGTCCCCTTGTATCTTCATACATACATTCTAAAACAAAACACTTAACTACTAACTTATTCGACATGCTACTCGTATTTCAAGGAGCTTTTTGGTTGCGTAGTGGGTACAAGAGGTAGGCTGCTAATCTCAGGGTCAGCAGTTCGAAACTACTAACAATTTAGTGGGAGAAAGATTTACAGCCCCAGAAACCCTGTACAGGGTCACTATGAGTCGGAACCAACTCTCCAGCACAAAACAACCGCCACCCGTTTTTCACACCTCTGCCTCTGCACACAAGAACCTCTCTCTACCTTCAGTTCCAACAGTGAGATCATCATTTCTGTGAAGCTGTTCTGGACTCCCCTGGATACAGCCAGGCACCTAGCTCTCTGCACAATGTATTGCAATTGCCCCAAAGGATGACGAACTTGATTGCCCTGTTATTGTTATTAAGTGCCAGAGTTAGTTACTTCTCATAGCAACCCTGTACAGATTTCTTTGGAGCAGTTGGTGGGTTTGAACCACTTACCTTGCAGTTAACAGTCATGCTTATCTTACAGCGCCACACCAAGACTCTTGCCCTTTTGTTGTTGTAAAGTGCCAGTGAATGGGTTCCAATCATAGCAACTCTGTATAAGATTCCCAAAGACAAGCAGGTGGGCTTGAACCACCAACCTTGCGGTTAGCTATCCAGTGCGTAGTGGTTATGAATCAAGCTGCTAACCTCAGGGTCAGCAGTTCGAAACTACCAGAGGTTCAAAGGGAGAGGGAGAAAGATGAGGCTTTCTGCTCCCATAAAGATTTACAGCCTTGGAAACCCTATGCAGGGTTGCTATGAGTCTGTACGGACTCCACAGCACATAACCACCACCACCATCCAGTGTTAACACTACAGCGCCACACGAGGGCTCCTAGAAAACGGCAATTTGTGGAGTGATTATGAACTTGGGCTCTGGGGCACAACTGAAAAGAGCTCTTGGAGGAGTCATACATCAGGGTTTACCACCAGGCAGTTAGGGAGTTAGTGGTCTCTGACTCAATCCCTTAGCTGGATAACATTGGAGACATTCAAGATCAAAGGCGATGGCCCACAATAGGTTTATCCTTCCTGCAGAAGCGGTTTACTGATTTCAGTGACTCTCCCACTGAGGATCCCATTGAGATTAGAAAGCTTTGTCTCCGCATTACTTTCCTAAGGAATGTGAGCTAGAGGGCACTCCAGGAAAAGCTCCGAGGAACTCAGCTATGCAAAGAGACACAGATGAGGGAATGCTCATATCTCATTATATCCAGACTTAACTAAAGCGCAGGGGCGACAGATTGTTGCCACTTACAAATTCTCAGCTACTGAAAAAACTTCTAGTAAAATATTGGTATGGCGCTGTAGGATAAGTGCTGGACCACAAGGTAGGCTTGAACTGTAAGATCAGTGATTCAAACCCACCATCTGCTCCTGGGAAACCCTATACAGGGTCGCTATGAGTAAGAACCGACTCGCCTGCACTTAATAACAACCACCCAAGTATTTGGGTCCACCCTAAGCAGAGTATTTAAACCATGAGCTGCGCAAACGGCGTACAGATGCTAAGCAGGAATCTACCACATTTAAAACGGAATGAAAAAAAAAGAAGGCACCGAGAAGCGCTCTTGTTGCTTTTTTGACCACAACGAAAGAGGAGAAATAAAGGGAATTATCGGTCCTTGGAAACCCTATAAAGGGTTTCTATGGGTCGGAACCGACTCGACAGCACTTAACAACAGCAGTGTGAGAGGCGCTAAGACCCCCACCCCATCGTTTCCCCGCAGCCCCCTGCGCGGGGCCGCAAACCACTGGGCTCCGCCCGGCCCGGGCAGCTCCTCCGCAGTCCCTCCCCTACCTTCAGGGCTGCGGTGTCGCTGCGAAACAATACCCGAGGACGGCTCCGGTTCCGCGGTGCCCATAATAGTACTATTCCGGGCCTGCACGACTAGGACAAAGAGAAGAAGGATGAAAAGAGCCATGCCTCCCTGACCCACATCGGGTGCGGCCCGGAGCGACAGCCGGAGCCCCGCGGCCTCACGTCACTTCCTCAGTCGGCAGCTCTACTCAGTGGGGCAAGGCATAGGTAGTCACGTGAGGCGCAGGCGTGGAGGCGGGGCGCAGGCGTGAAGGCGGGGCGCAGGCGTGGAGGCGGGGCGCATACCGACGGCTAGAACAGGACCTCGGCAGCAGAGAAAGCGGAAAGCAGGGGCGGGGACCTGGGACTAGCTGTGGGCGTGGGTGTGGGCGGGGCGATCTTGGAGAGCCGGATGACGTGGACTAGGCCAAGAAATCCAGTCGTTGGGTGGGAGTCGAGGCGTGGGTAGGACGGCGGGGGCGAGAGGGTGGGGACTGGGCGAGTCCTGGGAGCCAGAGGGTGGAGACGGGGCGAGAAAGTGAGGTGAGAGCGGGAAGGAAGGGCTATAGGGCATGAAGACTGGAACCCTGAGGAACCCGTCCCGGCAAGCCTGGGGCCGCGGGACAGATTCCGGAAGGCTGTGGTTACGAAAGGTTACTTTCCGGAGACTCTTGTTCCTGTTTCTGCAGTGCCCTGAGGTTGCAGACTTTTATCTTTGGACCTAAGTGGGTCACACTATTTTGCCCTAGAGACTATCATCCACGATGCGCTGCTGGCGTAGTGGGTTAAGCATTCGGTAAACGATTAGAACCCACCAGCCGCTCTGCGGGAAAAGTAGAGGCCGTCTGCTTGGTTTCCCTAAAGATTTTGTTGTTGTTAGTGCCAGTCGGTTCCGACCCATAGCGACCCTGTATAGGGGTTCCGAGGAGCAGCTGGTGAACTTGAACCGCCGACCTTGAGGTTCAAACCGACCTTGAGGTTCAGCGCCACACCATAATTCACTAGGAATTGGAATCAGTCCAGGGCACTGGGTTTGGGGTTTAAACTTCATTATCTAGGCATCTAGAGTCCTGGTGTGACACCACAGAATAACCATAGGACCTCAAGTTCGGTCTGAACCGCAAGGTAGGCTATTCAAACCCACCAGCCGCTCCTCGGAAATCCTACATAGGGCCACTATGAGTCAGACCCTACTCGAGGGCACCTAACACCAACAGTGAAATGGTCGGTGCAAAACCCCACAAGGTAAACAAAATTGGATAGGCCAAGAACACTCTCTTACTCTTGGGAGAAAAACCATCTTGAATTATTATTTCAGCAGCTGACCATCAAGGCAGCGATGTATGAAGCAACCAGTCATGTGAGGTCTGTTCTCTTTTCTCTGCCCAAATGCCCATGTCTGCCTTTGCACGCATTCTAGCCACTTTGGCGACCCTGCACTGTTTCCTTCTGTTGTGCATAGGGGCGCTCCCAGTCTACCACACCTCACAACATCAAAAACCACTCAATTGGGAGAAAGATGAGGCTGCTTGCAGCTCCAGTAAAGATTGCTGCCTTGGAAGCCCTAGAAATGGAAACATTTCAATTAAGTCCTATAGAGTTGCTATGATTCCTTGCAGTGGGCTAGAACAGGAACACCTGTGCTGTGCAGACTTAACCATCACACCTGTTCTAAGTCTCTGCTTTATCAAGACTTATGTGAATTTATAATTGCAAACCACTCTGACATCCTCCTCAGCCAGCCCTACTATTTCTCCTGGGCACTTAATCACCTTCTGCACACATCAGTATATTGAGCTTTATTCTTTCCCTCTTTTAGAATGTAAGCCCCACTGGGGCTGAAATATTTGGCACTCAATTAGTATTTGTTGAATTAAAATGTGCATTATTGCTCTAGCATTAAGGAAAATTTTAGTGGTAAAAACTTACGAAAATGCTTCACAAACTAGGGAGGAATTATCAGTGAGACTACATTTATATTAATAAGTCCCTTAGCTCAGTAAAGTTTCTCAAACTTTAATGTATAGTGAATCACCCTTGATCTTGCTGAACTGTTATTGTGAAGTGCTGTTGAGTTGATTCTGACCCATAGAGACCCTATAGAGGGTTTACAAGGAGCAGCTGGTGAGCTTGAACCTCCAACCTTGCAGTTCCAATGGCTTTTGCAGTCGGTACATTAATCCACAGCGCCACACCAGGACCATTTCGTTTGGGTCTGAAAGTTTACCTTTCCAGTAAGACACACTAGGAATGCTAGGACCACACTTTGAATAGGAAGATACTAGCTCAATCTATTCTAGGTCTTGGGTCTTTTGATGTCTTTATGATGCACCCTACATACCTATCTGAATGAAGATCAAAGATCTCTTTCCATATGGGTTGTACCTCAATGTAAAGAAGACAAAAAACCTTACCACTGGAATCATAATTAACATCATGATAAATAAAGAAAAGATTGAGGTACCAAAGACTTCATTTTGCTTGGGTCCACCATCAATACTCATAGACGCAGCAGTCAAGAAAACAAACGGCATATTGCATTAGGTAAATCTGTTGCACAAAACCCTTTAAAGTGTTCAGGGAGAAAGATGTCAGTTTGTGGACTCATGTGCACCTGACCCAAGCCATGGTATTTTCAAAAGCCTCATATGCATGTAAAAGTTGGATACTTGATATATTTGAGTTACGGTGTTGGAGAAGAATATTAAACGTACCAGGGACTGTCAGATGAACAAAGAAATCTGTGTTGGAAGAAGTACAACCAGAATCCTGCTTAGAAGCCAAGAGGGCCAAACTTTGTCTCTCATACATCATACATACTATCAGGAGTGACCAGTCCCTGGAAAAGGACATCATGCTTGCTAAAGTGGAGAGATAGTGAAAAAGAGGCAGACTCTCAACAAGATGTATTGGCACAGTAGAAGCAACAGTGGGCTCAAGAGTGGCAGCAATGGTGAGGATTTCATTCATTCGCAGGACCAGGTGGGGTTTCATTCATTCGTACATAGGGCTGCTATGGGGCGGTACCAACTTGACAGCACTTCTCAACAACAACTATATATAAAGCACATTCTGGGTATTACAAGTATGCAATGAAAAATAGGGAGTGATTTTTTGTTGTTTAGGAGATTTAAAAATTTTTTTAATGACGATATATCTAATTCAGGTCAATAAACATTTTTGTAGTTCTCATCACATGTTGGAGTCCTGGTGTGGCATGTAGGATAAGCACTGCACTGCTAATCAAAAGTTCAGCAGTTAAAACCCACCAGCTGCTTTCTCAGCAATGCTATAAGGTGTCATTATGAGTCAGAACTGACTCACGGCATGTAACAACAACACATCACATGTTGGGTTAACCAAAACAAATAACCGAAAAAGTGGTGTTGACTTCAACTCAGCAATCCTACAGGACACAGTAGAACTACCCCATAGGATTTTTGAGGATGTAAATCTTTACAGAAACAGACTGTCACATGTTGCTTCTATAGAGCACCTAGTGGTTTTGAACCATCTGATATTTCTGTTAGTATTGAATCCCTTTTAACCACTGCTCTACCAGTAATTTAAGATTGGGTTACTACATAGGAAGTACATTTTTAAGCCAAAATTAGCATGTAAGACATTATTAGCACATCAACAGGGAGCTTCCAGAAATTCAAGCCAGATTCAGGTTCAGAAGAGGAGATGAAACAAGGGATATCATTGTTAATGTCACATGGATCTTGGACGAAAGCAGAGAGTACCAGAAAATGTTTACATGTGCTTTATGGACTTTGCAAAGACATTAGACTGTGTGGATCATGACAAACTGTGGATAACACTGGGGAAGAAAGGGAATTCCAGAACACTTAACTGTACTCATGAAGGCCCTATACATAGACTAAGAGACAGTTCTTAAAGAACAAGTGGATACTGCATGATTTAAAATCAGGAAAGATGTGCATCCGGGTTGTATCCTTTCATGATATTTATTTAATCTCTGTGTTGTTGTTGTTGTTGTTGTTAGGTGCCATCGTGTTGGTACTGACCCATAGTGACCTTATGCACAGCAAACAAAACAATGCCCAATCCTGGGCCAACCTCACTACTGTTGCCACGCTTGAGTCCATTGATGCTGCCACTTGGTCAATCCATCTCATTGGGCATCTTCCTCTTTTTCTCTGACACTCCACTTTACCAAACATGATATCCTTCTCAAGCAACTGGTCCCTCCTGACAATATGGCCAAAGTATGAGAGATGAAGTTTGGTCATCTTGGCCTCCAAGGAGCATTCTGGCTGTACTTCTTCCAAAACAGATTTATTGGTTCTTTTGGCAGCCCATGGCACTTTCAATATTCTCCTCCAACACCATAACTCAAAAGCATCAATTCTTCTACAGTCTTCATTATTCACTGTCCAGCTTTCACATGCATAGGAGGTTATTGAAAAAACCATGGCTTGGGTCAGGCGCACTTTAGTCCTCAAACTGACGTCTTTGCTCTGCAACACTTTAAAAAGGTCTTGTGCAGCAGATTTGCCTAATGCAATACATCGTTTGATTTCTTGACTGCTGCTTCCATGAGTGTTGATAGTTGACCCAAGAAGAATGAAGTCCTTGACAACTTCAATCTTTTCTCTGTTGATAAGAATGTTGTTTATTGGTCCAGTGGTGAGGATTTTTGTTTTCTTGACATTGAGATATAATCCGTACTGAAGGCTGTGCTCTTTGATCTTCATCAGTAAATGTTTTAAGTCCTCTTCACTTTCAGCAAGCAAGGTTGTATCATCTGCATATTGCAGGTTGTTAATGAGTCTTCCTCCAATCCTGATGCCATGTTTTTCTTCATATAATCCAGCTTCTCGGATTATTTGCTCAGCATACAGGTTGAATAAGTATGGTGAAAGAATACAACCTTGATGCACACCTCTCTTAATTTTAAACCATTCAGTGTTTCCATATTCTGTTCGAACAACTGCTTCTTGGTCCAGGTACAGATTCCTCATGAGTAAAATTAAGTGTTCCAGAATACTCATGCTTCTCAATATTTTCCATAGCTTGTCATGATCCACACAATCAAAGCCTTTGTGTAGTCAGTAAAGCACAGGTAAACATCTTTCTGATGTTCTTTGCTTTCAGCCA